TGGTAGCACAAAGGACGATTGTCGGGTGCACGCCAGACGGTGGACTTCCTCAGGCCAGGATGAAAATCAGCCTGAGATGGCAGGTGATGGGCTGGACTGGGAAAGCGTCTGGGGATCCCCGCAGGTGGATGAGCAAAATGTGCCGTCGACGGCGTAGAGACCCGTAGGGAATCCTCGTAGGAAAGCGTGGGAGGTTCGACTTGCGATGGTGGTGAGGAGTGAACGAACTGCCTGATTTCGTTACGAACGACGTCTATAAGAGCAGCGCTACTGGGAAGGGACGCTGCATGAAATTTCTGAAGTTTCTCACGTACGACTTGCCGTATGAGTTCTACGAGGACCTTCCTGTTATCACCTCCTGGTACAAGCGAGCACGCAGCAGACATGGCCGTCTGACGCTCATACTGCGACACCCGCTGCCGAAGCATGCGCTCCATAATTGTGGCCACACGAATGAACTCGGACACAGTCGTAGGAGGGTTGCGCACAAGGCCCGCGAAAAGTTTCTCCTTTACGCCCGCATTAGCAGGCGCACTTTCTTGTCTTCTGGCATGTGGGGGTCAGCCCGTCGAAACAATCGCGACATTTCTTCGACAAACATGGCGACGCTCTCGTTCGACATTTGAAACCGCGAAGAAAGTGCCTGCTCCGCTCTCTCTTTCCGTCAGGGCTTACTGAACGCCTCGCGAAGCTGCCGATGGAATTCCTGCAAACTTGTGGATGAACTTTTGTGGTTCTCATACCACACTTTTGCCGCGTCTAAGAGGGAGATATACACGTTTTTCAACTTACGGCGATTGTCCCAGTCGTTGATGGCAGCGACTCGGTCGAAATGGTCAAGCCAGTCTTCGACATCCTCACCGGCATCGCCATGGAATGGGTTGGGTCTGCGATGCGTGTTGATGACACAGGGTACGCTAGCGGGTGGGTCATGCTTGGTTTGGGTGGCGGATGTGGCGAACATTGTCCTCACGGAATTTCCCAAGGGGCCGTACTGTGGTGGTAGTCCTTGAAGGCGGTGGCGGCTTCGATAGATATCAGCAGACCCTGGTAGCACTGGCGATGGTTACTTCTGGTTCAGGACCAGCAGGCATAAGACGTTGCAGTGCAGTACCCAACACGTCCACCAGTATGTCGCGAGAGGAAACGATAGGCAGGAACTCGAAGTGGAGGACTGTTTACTGAAGTCAAGTCAAGGTCCTTGACGATGTGGCGCATACCCACGCTGGTGGATTGGCCAAGAACCAGATAGTTTTTATGAATTTCTTCTTTTTGAACAGATTAAAATTATTCAATTTATGAGAAATAAAAGAAAGATGCAACAAGACGAATTTGATGGTCGAATTGTAAATAATCTGTAGTGTAATGTAATAAAATGTCGTATTTGATTTATTATGAATTTGGAAATTTAAAAATCTACTGAACAATGATTTCAACACTTAAACCTCTTTGAACTTTCGACGAACTCCTGCAATGCCTCAACCATCTTCCTGTCGCTGTGGCCTAGACACAAAGCCCCGAAAGAAAGCACATTTTCAGCATTTAAATCTATTCCGAGAAGGTGGCAAACGGCACCTAAAGTGTTTTTACGTAAGGCAGAGAATCTATGACAATAAATGAGATAATGTTCAGTTGACTCATTTACTATACAAACAGGACAATGAGGGGAGGCTGCCAGACCAGCTCTGTGTAAATATAAATTCAGCTGTGGAATTTGACAGCGCAGTCTAGTGATTGCGACTTCCGTTCCTCGCGTTTGACATATTTTACTATTACAATGGTATAACAAGTGCATGAATTCTGGTATGGCTGTTAGTGAAGGTGTAGAAAACTCCTCTAACAGTAGTTTCCTTCTTATTCTAGCGCCTATCAAGAATTTCGATGCCGGTAATACAACAATAACAGGCCCATTTAAAGATGACTTGGCCAACGCATCTGCCATTTCATTCATATAATTGCCCTTATGACTAGAAACCCCGACCAGTTTGATCAGATTGATATGCGAGTGAAATAATGCTTTGAAAGCATTCTGAGCATGCGAGTTCTCTTCTGCAGTAAGGGAGGCACATACTGAATAGTGAATTTGTTAAAATTATTGCGGTTCTTACTGAAGCAGTTATTTTACGGAGAGCTAGAATTATCGCTAAAAATTCTGCTTCAAATATGGGCACGAAATCGGGAAGGCGAAGCGAAAAGGACCAGTCTAGGGCAGGAGAAAAAAAATACCAATTCCACATTTTTATTCCCTTTGTGACGCGTCAGTTGCTATGGCTGCTTGTATTGGCGTATGTTCCAGGTAATCTCTTAATATAGCTTCTAAAAAACTGAGCGGCATCAATTTTGATTTTTTTCGGAAATATATAATCAAACTAATTTAATAGCATTGTTAACGGTACTGAATAAAAAACAGCATCAATTTGAACACCTAAATCATCTAGAAAGCGCTGTATAACCAGAATTTGGGGTATACGAGATCTCGGCCAGTATTGTCCGAAAAACGAGTCAGGACGGTTATTAAAAACTGTTTTTAAGCCTTACCAACGATTCATACAGCCTAAGAAATGCCTGTATAGCTAACAATTTTAAACGGGTCACTTCTTTCTTATCTTCTGCTACCAACACAGCGTGGCAATATTATTGTTCTGATGATCACAATGATGGGTGATTGGCATGTCTCACACGCAATCTGTGGGATTGACCTTCTTTTTGTCTTAATAGTAATATTATTATAGTTTCTGTGACCTGAAATAGCTAAATCTGGCAGCGAGGCTACTGAACGAGTCCAGGAAAGATAAGTATTAACAACAATCGTTTGGCTAGAAATATTGCTCTCGATCTTGTTCTAACACTGCCGGATTATTATCATTGGCGTCACTTCATTATCTACGAAATCGCGCTGACTTTTTATTTCTTTAAAAACTAGTTCACGGTATAATATTTTGCCAAAAACTAGTTCACGGTATATATTTTGCTCTGAAGGTCGTCGCCTCCACGAAGCGCCTCCTCCAAGGAGCGTGGTCTCTCCGGCGCGCGCGCTTATCTGACTCAGGATTAGGGATAGGACGAAGGTCGCTTCTCACGCCACCACGGCTGCGTTTACGCAAGGAGCACGCTGCTGACACACGACACAGGAAGAATTGCGAGTTGTTCGTTCTTGTCCTATGTACTCGTGCGCTTGTTTCACGCGTCTTACCATTTGAACAGCGCGCTTTAAGTGTCGGTCTGTGGCAGTTCGTCAGTGTTCGTCCTGCACATGCTGATTTCGTGCGTACTTTCTGCTTGAGGCGTGCGCTGCAAGTTTCGAGCCACTTGCTGTTCTTAACATGACGGCAATTTGTTGCTGTTTCTAAAACAATGATCAATGAACGCTCAACTACCTGTATAAAGACACTTTTCACTTTTGTGTTATACCGATATCTATATGAATAGAATCGGCCACGTTTTTTTTTTATTTCTAGCTCTCTGTCTACTTGTCAGACAAATTCGGCAGTCATTCATTGCTTTTTTTTATTGCAGACTTCTTTACTTTTCCTATGTTGCCTCTGAAATTCAAGGCTTTATATAGGTTAACCACCAGAGTGTATATTTCTATAATCAACTGAAATATGCGTAGCTGTTTTTTTGTTTTGTTAGACTTCACACGCATGTACAGCAAAGGGAAAAGTCAGTTCTTGTTCACCTAATCTCTATCTAAAACTATACCTTCTATGTAGACCCAACTTCCCTTTAAGCAGCTAGGTGCTTTCCCTTCTATGATCATAAAATATATTTTTGCTTGTGTCTACACCCTTACTGTAATTACTCCGGAACAATTGTTTCCTACAGCTGTCATCCAGTTTCATTCCTGCTTCTATGACGATTCACTTAAAGTGCCCCTAAAGCACCTCCATTCATTTCTGACATTTCAGGCAAACGTGGGCATCGTTTTCAGAGTTCTGCCACGATCAACAACGCCAAACTGCAGCGCGACGAGCCGTGGGCGTTCCAGAAGTTTCAATAAATAATACCTCCTCCTCTGTGCTCCTTTTGGAACTTTTAATTCTCTGAGATGTTGGCAGTGACGTCAGCATGTCATCGGACAGTCATCAGTTTGTCCACTTAAAGGCACTATCAGAGTCAAATGAAACCATAACCGGGGCAAGCGTTTGCAATGGTATGGAGGGCACTGTCCACTTATCACCATGCACATGCACGCATATATTCACAGCGCTGCCGAACAAGATGCGTGCGCCTTTCGATGGGGATAACTGCTTGGTGCGCACAATGCCATCGCGAAAACTTGCCGGTGTAAGGGTTTCATTTGACGCTCAATGCACGTGCGCCTGCCGCTCTTCCTCCTCGCAAGGAGCACTCGGTCAGGAGGAGAGACGAGCCGACGAACGAAGAAAAGGGCGAAACGAGCTAGGGTCTACTAGTTACGATCAAAAGGCGCATGCTACGTTTTCATTGTAGACTCATGCTCAACCTCTGGGTTGTTTAGGGGCCCTTTAACAAACCCTGTTACCATGTCGCTTACACTGCCAGGCACATGCTGATGTGCTGATGAGTTGATGAGTCACTGATGAGTCAACATATTTGTTGATGAGTCACCCATCTTATTTTGCTCAAATTTCACTCAACGTTCTTGCCATACGAATACGGGAACGCCTCTTCCTCCCACCTGCGCCCTTACATGTTCTGTAATATTTCATCGAAACTAATTTTCAAGGCAGTGAAGTCACTACCGACTCCACCATTATTAAGCGTCTGCACGTCACGCAGTGAAGCCTGGACGATATCGGTGTTACATGTTGCTATTTGGAGGTGTATGTGGATAAACGTAAGGTGATAAAAATGTGTATTAAGGGTAAAGTAGCGTAATGTTTACTTTGGCGTACGGTATTTTTCAAAAACTCAATTCGCAATTGTGACTGATTGCCACCCGCTGCAGTGAGGTTATAATATTGTTTACCAATTGCTCTTTCTTGAGCAATTTAAGAAGGCATGTTACCTGATTCCAGATTTCTTGCATCAGCGGTGCATCACGAGGCGGTCTGTCTTCGTATGCCTGCAATGTGCTGGTGATTCACTACCTCCAAAATACTGAACCACCAGTAATACCAGTCCTCCAGCAGGTAAGCTCAGTTTCTGCAGCTGCGCAATGGGGTTTCAATATTGCTGTGAACGCAGGAAATAGTTGTGAAAGTAGCAGAAACTGAGGTGCATGAATGTTTTGGTGTCGTGAAGCCAGAGAAAGTGCAGGCAGAACAAGCTATGGTTTTAACCAAAACACAAAGATAAACAACAAGGCAGAGAGTGAAAATGGTTAAAAACTACTTTCACGTAAGAAACTAGCAATTAATGACCTTTTGACCACAATCATTTAATTTTTCATTGCAATTTCTGCATTTGAACTCGATGAGCACATAGTATTTTCTTTAGTCTGCTTAGTGTTTGCCTGTATTACGTTTGTATTTTTCTCTAAAATACATCGAATGGTTTTTTTTGCATCGAATGGTTAGCTTTTCTTATGAATATGTTCATGTGAATTACTGTTGGCTTAGTGCTGTGGGCAAAATCTACAGGGTAGTGTATTTCCAGGTGTTATGTGCTTGTGACAGTCACCGAGCGCCATTTCAGGTCTGTCGGACATGATCAAGACAGGTTCTCGATGTAGATTAGGGTTGTTTTGCACAATAAGTCGACAGTCAAGGGCAGCGGAGAAATTCGATCCTAATTATGTCTTGATGATTCAGAAGACCCGAAAAAAACGAGTGATCATAATCCTCGAGGTTTTCTTTTTCTGTAATACATATTTTTGTGTCTCCTTTTCAAATACAACCTTTGGATTTTGGTAACAAGTTTATTGAATTGTTGATGACAACTGTTAATACTCTTGAAATTAAACGGATCAAAACATCGAGGTCACAAGCTTAGATTCTCTGATGCCCATGGCGGTGTGCTATGCGCCACATAGTGTAATGGTGGTCACCATTAAGCCCAATCAACATGACATTTTTCAACAGTGATTAGCTTCCTGTCGGAACTTGTGCAAAGGTGCCAATCACGTTCAAGTAATCCCATACGAATAAAGCCCGATCCAGGTCTGAAGTGGCCGCATGACATCAATATTACAGATGTGCAAGCTTTAAATATTATTGTTTCTACTATAACGCAGATATTTGGTGGTTGGGTTGTTGATGCTACAAATTGTCTATCTTGCACTCACAGCTTGCTCTGTCCTGTTCTTTCTTTTGTTTGGCAACCAAGATATGCAGTGCTGGGTTGTGTGTTTTAGTGCGACAATCTTGTGCATTGCAGTTGGGTCAACAGGAGCCAAAACTCGTCGACGGGTGCAACGTCTATTTTTTTAACAACATTGATGAATTGGTAAGTGTCCTGACATCCCGCAGTTGACCAAAGCAGTCGTGAATCTTCACATGAAGCAGTTGCTTCCTCTGTTAATCTGCAGTCTGTGTGGTGCTGTAAAAACGGGTACTTTCGGAGCATGTTCTTAAAGGAGTACTGACGTGATTTTGAGGCTCAGCGGAAGGGACAACTTTTGTTCTTATGGTGTGCATTACTAGAATTCTCCACTGACTGGAGCCAGGCAACACATAGAAAATAGTGCACTCTGATTTTAAAGTTCGTCGCACATCATCGTAAAGCCAGCCCCATCGCAATGGACGCTATCACAAGTCAACAGAATTCATTGGGTTTGTCCTGCCTATCTAGAGTACAACCGTGGTTATGGTTAGCTTCAATCCCTGTACCTGTAGCGCACGGAGAGAATAAACCGTGAAGACTTCGCATCCAGCTGATGTTAACACCCTAATATGTATCTTCCAGTGTGATTGTGGCCCTCCTACCTGATCGCGTCTGGAGTACATATATATATGAGCCACTTGGTCGAAGACCCTTCCTGAATCGAGACTAATAATGACTATCGTGCCTTCGCAGACAGGAAAGAGAGAAAATAAAACATAAGGACGTTTTGAAGCTCTTCGATTGGTTATTCACCTGAACATTTTGGTTCAATATTGTTGCTTTCTATGCCATAGGAACTTATCAATCTAGCATCAAAAACAGTCTAGATTGCCTACTATATATTCAGATGACGCAAGCAACCACAGTGCTAACGGTCGTACCAGGTGCCTGATTTCTTGGTATTGAGAACAGTTTGTGAAAAGGTATCTCGCTATTAGTTAACGGAACAGTGTGCATATCTGTGACGTGAAAAACTGAAGGTTTTTATTATGGTTCAGCCAGTCCTAATCTACGATCGTATTTTGGTTTCATTTTCTCCCACGAAAAAGTGAAGCGGTGCCAAGTGTACCACGTGCATGCTAATTTAAAAGCTTTTACTCCAGTTGGTTAATGTTGTCGTACCGTGGGCCGTGTGGCATTACTATCCCATGCACATTAATGCAATACTCAAGCGCCTAATATATGGGGTTCACTCTTAGTGCAGGTCAGCAAGCCAGAGAGAACGAATAGGGTATGGTGAATAGGGTGTGATGATGAGTAGGGTGTGATGAAAGATGAATAGGTTGTTTTGTTCAACTTCTCGTGCCCGCCCAACCAAGTTTATGTGCTCGACGGAAGCTTTTCCAATCTGGTTTACTTAATCATCCAACTTGCGCGGTACAGTATAGCCGAGTAAAGAAATATTCTGAGAGGGACAGCCATCGGTTCCTAGTTTTTTGTTACATTCTGTAATGTGATTGAGCTAATGGCCAAGCAGTCAATCCACCAGCGCAATTTGTTATTAAAAAAAAGGCGCAGCTGTTCTAGGTCGAGGTTAGAATGGAGAATCCCAATGGAGCATCGCACACTCGGAGTGCAGCTAACGAGACTACTTGGTTATTGACACTGCAGATAAACGAAGCAAAAAAGCTTTTCAGTATGAATTACCAACTAGCCAAGTATGGTGAATTATAAGTAGACCCGCAGGCCGCGGGATCAAATCCCGGCTGTGGTGGCTGCATTTACGATGGAGGCGGAAATATTGTAGGCCCGTGTGCTCAGATTCGGGTGCACGTTAAAGAACCCAGGGGGTCAAAACTTCCAGAGTCCTTCACTACAAAGTTTCTCCTAATCACATGGTGCTTTTGGGAGGTTAAACCCCACATATCAATCAAATCAATCTGAATAATTGTATGTACCACTGCATTTGGGAAAATCTCTCTACTCCCCTCCAATGCACAAAACATGAAGTTTCATATAACTGGAATGTTGGGTGAAGCAAGGTGGGCATAGCCATAGAGTTTCCGATTACCATCCAGGGGGAACTAGGGCTATATGTTTATTGGTGAGTAGTTAGAAGAATATAGAAAAACTGTACACTGCCCGTGTTGCAAAACTTGTTTCTTCACTTAGGAAAATAAGACCGAACATTTGTGTAGGCAGGCTGTGGCATAACTGCTATACAGTAAACTCAATCAAATAAATAACAATATGATGCCACCAGCTCCGCTGTTTAACCAGTGCTCGTGACTTCAAGCAAGTGCAGCTGTTTGAATTCATTTTTTCGTTGCAGGAATCAGTCTGGAGTGGCAAAAGACATAACCTCCAGCAAGTCGGGGAGCTGTGGGTTGGTCTCCTACGTTATTATGCAGACTTTGACATAAAAAAGTATGTTGTGAGTATTAGAGCGAAGACACCTGTGACGAGACTGCAGAAGAGGTGGGAATCGGAGTTCATGGCTATCGAAGGTAGGCTCTTACTCAGTGAGACAGCAAGGAAGTGTGGAGTCAGCATGTTGGTTTTAGTTTGAAATAGGGGCTCAGTGAGTATTGCCACATAAAGCCACACAGGTGCTCGCAGCTATATTTTGGAGCTACCTACAGCGTGCGAGATAAAGGAGGAAGTGTCATTTTTTATATACAGGGTGTCCCAAGTAACTTTAGGCAGAGTTTAAAAATATGCCGGAACACGCAATTACGACGTGACCAAATGCATATTGCTCACCGTTGCCTAAAGTTAGACAATTTTTTGTGTTTTCAAATATTGCATAATTAGATCTATTTAATTAACTAACTTCTGAAAGAACGAAGAGCGATAAAGATTTTTAATGAGAAAGTTGTAGATCGGTTTGCAAAACGCCCAATTAGATAGTTCTGAACTTCATATCTGTTAGATATTAGTGTTTTTCTGCTAATTGCGAATGTCCGCGAAATACAAAAAATACCACGTGACAAACCCGATCGTGCGCCAGTACGCACAATGATTCTAGTGCTCCCAAACGTTCCGCGTACGAACGACCATAGCATTCGCCCCATTGTGGCATCTTGGCAGGGCGGCAACGTTGGTGGTGGCTTTGCGAAGAAAACTTTTTGCTATGTGCCACCAAAACAGTAACCGCTGTGACTGCTTATCGCTGTCATGAACCGGTGCAAGAGAAACGTGTCGTGAGGCATAGGCCTGCGAACAAAGGGGAGTGGCGCTGACCAGGCGAAGCTGCCTCAACCCCCCCCCCCCCCCTCTTTCCTCTTCAAACAATGTGAACGGCGGCGCCAACTCTGTCCGACTCCGTCACTCGGTTGGTTCTTCGGTGGCATATTAAAGGCGCAAAGTTATGGCAACGCACTGTTTTTCAGAGTAAAGGCCGCCGGAACCTGAATTCAGAAAAGTAGGCACCTCCCATATTCACACCTGGAAATACCGTTACGGGAAACGCTTAATTGCTTTATTTTTGCATTCATGACACAGCTTATTTTCCTTCGATCTCGACTAGTAGTAAAGGCATGGGCGTGTCTTGCAGGGAAGTTTCCGAGAACAATGCACTAACAAACAACAAACTGTGCTCCGTCGGAATTTCGTGAAGCCGATTACACTGTACGTGACTGTTGCGTTTTGATGGTAGGCTTTTGACAATGCCAAAATAGCTGTTGCGGTTTTGTATCCCATAATAATATTCAAAGCAGTCCTGGACTGGTCAACGGTAGAGGAGGTGCAAGTTAGATCAGTTTGAAAGCGCGAGTGATCGCATGGCTGGTTGTTGCTGAAATATAATCTTGTCGCCCATTTTGTTTGCAGATCCTTTTGACATAGAAAGGGATCTTGGACAGCACGTGACGAAGAACAGTAAGTGTTCTAGTAATGTGAAGGTATAGTTTTTTCATAAATAGGATACCTGAAGCAGTTCATTCTAGTGCCCACGTCGTAGCGATGATTACAGCCCATGTGACGTTGAATAAACAAATCGAACTACAGTTTTGCAATGAAATCAAGCACAGGCTTTTATTCTTTGAGGGAATAAAAATGTTCTTTGACAGAACCAAGCTGGTGCTTGAACGTGCTCTTGAAAAAGATCCTATACAGTGATGACAGATAAGGAGTCACAAGAAATGTTAAAGTATTAGCTAAAACTGTTGATTGAGCAAGTGCATGTATATTTGCGACACGTTTTGGTGCCGAAACACTGAACACCTACGGAATGTACACCTGCACATATTGCGTGGCTGAAACGTATATTTAACCAGGAGTTGATCGTGTGAATTGCCGATAATGAGCACTAACAGGCAACGATTTCAAGAAAAATTTAGGGGATGTTATTTAGTGATTGTAGTGTAAATGTGCAGAAACTTTGCACGGGCTGAACAGTTGCACAATGGCACTGGTGTCAGTCATTGTGCGCCTACGCTGAACCCTTCGTGCAGCTTCAAACTTGTTTATGAGTGCCGAACAGCGCTGCAGCCACCAAGCCCCGGGCCGGAAAACGTGGCTGAAATATCGTGTTTGTGGTTTCATCGAAACGGTAATAGTTTTGGTTCCGTCAAGAATGTGATTTTTCGAACAATGATTCTGAGGGCATGGTCGTGATCGCTGGCGTGCGTGCAATCTAGGCAGGTATTAGTGCTATTGGCTTGTAAACCAATCTAGGCAGGTATTAGCGCTAATGACTCGTAAACCCGGCTACTTGCTGCGCTCTCAACGGGAGGAGACAGTGCGAAAAGAGCATTGCACAACAGGGCATCGAAGAGCTAAGCAATATCGTACCCAAAAGAGTTCACTGCCAGTCTTCGTATATACAATTTTGTCGCTGTCGCATCACTTAGTACGGCCTGAGTCAGATAGGAATGGATCAGCTTCGCTGTGCCTTGAGCTTAGTTCAAGCTACGCTTGTTTTTTGTTTCTTTGTTGTAGTTTGTTATTTTGTGAAATCAGTTTTTTTTCAATCTTCGCTAAAAAGGCTCTTCAAGTCCTTCAAAATCTCTATTTTCAATATTTATTCATTCTACTGTAAGTGAAATAAAAGTAGAAGTAAGAAAAGAGAATGGCTAGACATTACCTCAATATAAAGAATGATTTACCTAATAAGCTAAACAAAAAGCAAAAGACAATTAATGCCTTGAGTGGGCTACAACGTTACTGCGAGTCTCGTGACAAAAAGAATTGGTATGGTTAAGGATAATTGGTCAGAACATTTATATGTATTATTTCAAATGCGACATCACATTCAGTTTATCGTCATGGGGCACTCTCCTCTAAGAGCCAATTCCAGTTTTTTACACTGACTTTGTCCATAAATGCAAGGCACTATGTCCGTTACGGGTTAAGTATATCAAAACTTTCGTTTTCTGATCCAGAATCAAGTGCTGACTTCAGCTGCATGGTAATGCAGATACTTTAAGAGCTGTGCGTGATGCCTTTCTGTTTATGATTGGCATTCGTGTCTACCATAATCGACTCTTTATCATGCACTTTGTTTGCAGAGGGCGAGTTCATCATCAGCGCCCTGAAAAAAGGGATGATGCGTTGCGAGAAACCCATTCCACAACCGGCTGGCCAGTATGTGACGTTAGTTGTAAGTATTGCAGACTTTGATACTGCTCAAAGCTTTATCATGTCCTTATTGGGGAAAAAGTCTGGCTCCAGGCACGAGTGTTTTTACGATATGAGTGACTACAGTAAGAAGCTGCTATGATGAGCTATGATGGAATCCAACTCAATTTGTCAGGATTGACGTTTTCATTTCTTGGTATTAAATTCATTTAAAACCGTACTTTCTTTCCTAGGTAATTGAAGCAACTTAGCGCAGTAGTTTTGAATTGTTATTGTGGTATTGCATACCTGCAGTTCTGTATAGGTTTTTATGAAACCACATTATTCGGCCTTTCTTAATTGGGGCGCACCATCTGGTCCCATGCTACATTCTCATAAGCATCTTGTACAGAAATATTGTGTAAGGGGCTGAGTACACTGGTCAGATGGTGTGATTAGATCCTTGTCTAAATGAAGAGACTGTGAAAGAGAGCGAGATATTCAAGCACGATTTTCGTGATACGACTATAATTTATATATTTAAATCGCATGTATGCAGGTCCCGAAAACCCTGTATGTCACATAGCCTTGCAGGAGTGCGTTGAAGCTATACTACGGAGTCAACTTTGCTATATGTAGTCTTATTTTTTCGTGGACACTGTGATTAGGACTCAAATTTTTTGTTTGTAGTACATTATTAATGCAAATGTTTTATTCTGGGGTTTACAAAAAATTTTATAACGGACATACGTCCGCAACGTAAATGCAATCAGATAAGAAGGAAGAAAAAAAACGGGACTTGAACTCACCATCAATAAGCCCACCACAATAGCTGGCGTAATTATAACTAACTGCGCTATCATCAAAAGCGTGAAGGAGACTAGAAGAATGCGTTTTTTTCTCTCCTACACTGCTATCTGACTGCTCTTGGCTCGTGGAGTGGTGTCTCCGACAGGAAACAGTAGAGTAAGTAACCATCGGCTTTCTGTAATTAGGTCCGGCAACGCGCCATTGTTGTGACCATCCTGTTGGACGTGTTTTCTAAGAGAATAGTAATTTTTGTCAGCTCTATAACAAATTTGAAATAGTGATGGTGTAGAGCATTTATTCGGACAAGAAGAAGAAATAGCAGCGACATAGAGGGAGAGGTTAGCCTCACACTGGGTCTACTCATGCTGAGTGGTGTCTCTACTTCGAGACTCTATTGATTGAAAATGCCAGTCTGGCTGTCCGGATCGAGGCGTTTTGTGCCTGTATGGTCTGAGCAGGTTGTCAGAGCCGCCTCCATGTCCTCTTGGAATAGGGTTAGGAAGAGCGCTTAGGGCTGAATTGCGCTGACGGGCCCAGATCATCTGGCAGGCATCGGCTACTTACTCCCTGTACCGGCACGTGACATTGGCTCTCAAGTCGAGACGTTTCAGGATAGCAGGCCAGAGCATTGTATTAGTAAACCGTCTCAAAAGGATGCGTTGGCTAAACCTTACCAAACCTTTAGTGGAAGTTACGAAATCTGTAATCTCTGATATAAGAAGGACGCTTCCGGCCTCTTCGTCTAGAATGTTGCCGGAAGGTATGGTGGAAATGAGTGCATCAGCAGACGCATTGGGGGCGTCGTTCCCGCTGAAGATTTGTGTGGACAAACATGTATCATGTATGAAATAATAACAGATAATGTAACCTAGAACACACTTGTTATCATAACAATTCGAAAATGCACGTCGTGGCATCACGCGCAAGACGCGCCTTTGGTTTTCATGTGAACAACCAATTGCCACAGAAAGGGAGCGTTTTCATTTTTCTAAAAACATTGAGGACACACACACACACGCACACGCACGCGCACGCACACATGCATACACATGCATGCATGCATACACATGCATACACATGCATGCATGCATACAGAATTTCAGAATTTATTCAGAATCGAAATACAAGTGATACAAGTGCATGTGTTATGTACAAATACAGAAGGAGGTCTCAAAGTCGTGAGACTGTGAGTGAGACCTCCTATAAAATCATACATGAGCGATACAACGTAATAGTAAAGAGTGGTAAGGAAAGAAATCTGAAGGTATACAAAATGTACACATAAGCACAAAATAGCGAACGTAAGTTATAAAAAATGTACAGCTAAGCATGCAAAAACTAACACGAAAATGCAGTAACATTCACTCTGTATAATATCAAGCATTATTACGGTAAGGATAGAAAATTTAAGATATACAAATTGTACAGATAAACACGAAATAGCGAACATAAGTTATACAAGGTGTACCGATGAGCACAAAACTAACAGAAAAATGCAATAACATTCAGTTCATATAGTATCATGCATTAAGAATTTAATAGGTGCAAACGCAAGCCTTTTTTAAACATTTCGAGGGATCTATTTTTGATCTCCAAAGGTAAAGAATTCCACAGGGAAATAGAAGAAAATTTTGTAGTAAACTTGCCATAATTAGTTCTAGGTTTGGGTAAAAGGAAGTTATTAGCCTTTGCAAAACGAGTCGATGACGACTGAGGAAACTGACTTGAGTGTAGCAAAGGAATCGGAAGTTTTCCATTCACATATTTGTAAATAAGAATGCCGAGAAAATATTTAGTCAGCTTCTGAACTGATAAAATTCCATGCGAACAGAGTAAGGCTGATGCATCGGACATGAAGCCACTGAACGTTATTATTCTCAATGCTTGGTTTTGAAGATGTTGGATGGTTGATAAATGAGTGGCATACGTATTTCCCCATGATGAAATGCAATAGATTATGTTGCTGTGAAAGAAAGCATAGTAAAGTGACAACAATATTTCAAAACGAAAGAACGGGCGAACTTTTAGAAATATTCTAATGGCATATGCGGCTTTCCGCGTAAGCTCTAAAACATGTGAATTGAACTTTAAATGTGCATCTAATTTGACCCCGAGAAACATTGTACTAGAGGTAGAATGAATTTGAGTATCGCTTACGAAGACAGAGGGGTTCCTAGGTATAATTCGATTAGGTGACGAAAATACAACGAAGTTTGACTTTTTAGCATTTATGCTTAATTTATTCTTATTGAACCATTTAACGATATTTATCAGGTCGGTATTTAGTTTAAACAACATCGAGTCAACGTCTTTATCCGTAGTTAATATAGTGGTATCATCCGCATAGAGTATACAGGACGAATGTGCTAGACATTGAGGAAGATCGTTTATATAAATTAAAAATAAAAGCGGGCCCAAAATTGAACCCTGTGGAACACCGATGTTTATGGTTTTAGGGTTGGAAAAGGTACCGGACACATATACCACCTGTTCTCGATCACGCAAATAGTTACGAATTAGTTCTAGTGGAACGCCAGATACACCAATTGATTGTAGTTTCTGAAATAAAATGTCGTGCGAAATAGAATCAAATGCTTTTGAAAGGTCAAGAAAAACGCCTCCAACAACACTACCGCAGTCAATAGCATTTTTAATTTCCTCTGTTAGCGATATCATGGCGAGTTCAGTTGAGTAACCGGGCCTGAAACCGAACTGTTTGTTAGAAAGAATGTGAAACTTGTCTAGATAACACCGTAAACGTCCCGCAAAAAGCTTTTCTATGACCTTACTGAAGAATGAAATAATTGCTATAGGCCGGTAATTGGAGATTAAACGCTTGTCGCCTTTTTTAAAAACGGGAATAATTTTTGCTTTTTTCAGAGATGTAGGGAAGAACCCAGTTCCAAATACAAGATTTATAATATGACATAATGCATCACAGATTAAATGAGCTATCAGTTTCATGTCAGCAGCAAAGAACTTATCGAGACCAGCGCTTGTATTCCTTATACTATTGATAACGGTGAACACTTCCTCGGGTGACGTCGGATAAAGGAAGAATGAATGTGGTAATCGTGAACAAGTGTGTTCGAGGGATGCTGTCGACTGAGGAATATCAATGCCGAATGAGTCATTGAAAGAGTTCGCGATATCAGATGGGTTATCGATCACACGTTTTTCTGAGTGAATCAAGGTTATATCTGAATGTGCCGTAGTCCTGCCAAGAAAATTGTTTACAGTTTTCCACTGCTGCTTAACGTCATTTCCGGCTCGCTTTATTTTATCTTCGAAATACCTTAATTTAGCGGCTTTAAGTAACTTTCCTAATGTATTTGAATATTCTTTATAGCGCTTTAGAAGGTGAACATTGAAAGGGCACTTTTTCGTCTTTTTGTATAAGTTATCCTTTTTCCGCAGACATTTTAACAGGTTAGGTGTCAACCACGGATTAATTGGGACAAGGTACTTTTTTCTGCTTACTACTAATGTTGAAGCGGCCGTGACTGCATTTGAAATAATAGAGGAAAATTGTTGGTAGGCTATTTCAGCATTATTGCATTTCTTAACTGCCGACCAATCACACTGCTCGACGATGTTAATGAATGATGCAGTATTTAAAATATTCTTGAAGCATCGACTTATTTTATTATTATTTGAGATGTCTATGCTTGCATAAATAGGATAATGATCTGTGACAGGCACTTCGATGACAGCTGCTTCAGGAGGACTAATGAGGTTAGACAAAATGTGATCTATTATAGTGCCATTGCCATGAAGTGGAACACGAGTAGGTGCAGTTATGAGGCACTCGTAACCATACCCACTGAAGCAGGAAATGTATTGAGAAACATTTGCGTTGGTGTCATCAAGAAGATTGATATTCATATCTCCTAAAATAATCACCCGTTTCCCTTCTAATGACAGAGTTTTCAACGCCTCTCCTAAAGCTAGGCAGAACTCCATGACAGATGACGACGGAGAGCGATATATGCAGGCAACAACTAAATTCTTACTATCTTGCGAAAAATGTGGTTCATGAAGTTCCATCCACACGGATTCGCAACCAGGGATACTTAGTGCCAAGTCCAGTCGCCTATGATAGTGAAGGCATGAAGATATAAAAATAGCTGCTCCACCATGTGCATCGTCGATTCGGTGACAGTATTCAGAAGAATAGGAAGGAAACTTAAACAGGTCCCTGTCATGTTCACATAGCCACGTTTCACTGATGCA